AAAGTCAGCAACTTGGACAGTTGGACCTGGACGTTTTCCTCATCTTGTGGAATTGAATTCTGTAAGTTGGATTTTATCTTATCACGTGTTTGGGTAGCATGCATGTAAGATGTTTAATTTATTGCCTCAGAGAAAGACCCAGTTTGAATTATAACACGAAAGCATAGAATCTTGGTTTGTATTATCTATCATAAAAACATAGGAAAAGGATCTTATATTCTCCTGTTCAACCTTTGTAACGTTTTTGCACAAAAGAAAATTGGAGAGAAAAAACAGAGAGAAAAATGAGTAGAACTTAGAACATGACATAGAACATAAAAGCCATCAATATGGAAGGGTGCGTACAGTCACCCAACCGGAGAGGAGAAACCATGCTCTTTTTCTCTCAATTTTCAGTCAATTTCTTCTTTCGTTTTTATAGAGGAAGGTTACACATAAAATAATAATATTTTCTACCTAATACAATAATTATTAACTATCTTAAACATGGACTAAAATGATGAAGTTTGTTGCCATTTCTTGTAGCGCATGTGAAGCTCCATTGTGCTGTCGCTTTGCTGCTACTGTGCAGTCATGTTGCAGCTCTCGCGTCTTTCCATTTGCTGCTACTTTGGCAGCTTGAACACCACAACTCCAACATTTAGGATGTTGAGAGCAAAGCTTGTACGAGCATTGGGCGTTACGACCCTTGCTCTGTCTCTATTTCTTGATGCTTCTGTTGCGCAAGGCCAAAACAAGCCCTGTGCTCCTTCTTCCTGTGGAAACCTTAGTATCCGTTACCCTTTTCGTTTAAGTAGCGATCCTATTGAGTGTGGTTACCCAGGGTATGAATTAGTTTGTGAGAGCAATCGCACAACTTTCCTCACCCAATCTTGGGAATTCTTTGTGGAGGAAATATCTTATGATAGGTATACACTTCGCCTGGTGGATGCCAGTCTGGATCTTCATAGGAATGCATGCTTTATCCCTCGTAATTCCTTCCTAGTTAAAGGGGACTTTGAGAATAGATAAGAAGAGACCTATTATAACTCCCTCTTCAACAAACTAGAAAAAACTAGAAATAAATTGAACCAATGAAGTTGAGAAGAACAAGAGCTGAGTTAAAAGCATGAATGAGCTGCCAAAGGATTCATGGAAAGTTCAGTTATCAGACTTCGAAAAATGTTGATCTACTGGAATACAGATAAACAACATCAAAAAAATAAACGAGAAAAACCCTTCTTGTAAAAATATTTAGTATTTGCATGATAGTTGGTTCAGTTGATACAAGTCTTTTTAATGATTCTATAAAACATTCAGGACTCGAGAATATTACATCGTTACTTTGATATGGATGAAGGGATAGGAAAAGTGGAAAAGAACTACTTGGTGTACGTTACATAGTCCAATTATTTAGGGAAACATAGTTATGTTGAATTTGAATACGTTAAAGTATTTCATTCCAATTCAGAGATGACTGGTAGTTCTCTATTATTTGGTTTCCTAGGGATGTTGGCACTCGTCTGCACTGCATCTGCATGGCTGAAGCGATTTGGTGGCACTGTCAAACTGTCGACTTCTCCTTCCAACACTTGAAACGTAGCTTATATCCATGGACGGTTGCGGATACCACTGAGTGCACCAAAGTCCAACAATTGCAAGTTTTCTTGCTATCTTGGCATGCCCTTCATTTTATATTCTAAATAAACTTGACTCGTACTCTCCACTGTAGCATTACTATTCTTCCTCCCTCCTACCATTTCCAACAATAGCATTCCAAAACAATAAACATCTGATTGATGTGTAACTCTTCTGAAATTTATAGACAATACCTCAGGTGCAATATATATCCCATGGTTCCTCTAGCTGCTGTCATGGAAACTGTGGAACACAATTTCGCTAGACCAAAATCAGATATCTTTGGTTTGAAATTTTTGTCTAGCCAGATATTGTGAGGCTTGATATCAAAATGAAGGATTTGCTGGTCACAACCTTGATGCAAGTACTCAATTCCTTTGGCTATCCCCATAGCAATATCTTGAAGCTTCTCCCAACCAAGGCGGTGATCTTTTACTTTAGCTACAAATATGAACTTCTCTAGGGACTCATTTGGCATGTACTCATAAACAAGAGCCCGCTTATTTCCATCAGCACAAAATCCATTCAAGCGAGTAACATTGACATGGTGGATTCTGCTGCACATTGATCCCACTTCGTTAATGAACTCCTCCCTAGTTGCAATGAAATTGTGAGGACCTTTACTGCGACCAAAACATCATTGGAAAGCCTTCCTTTGAAAACAGTTCCATAGGCCCCTTCTCCCAATTGATCCTTGAATTGATCTGTTATTCTCTTGATGTCAGCATAAGAGCATCTTGAGGGCTTGAGCACTCTATAATCCTCCAAAAACTTTTCAATCATGAGCTGGGCCTCTTTCGCTGCTTTACGTTTGCGGTGAGAATACGATAAAGTCCGAAGAGAATCAATCCAAGAAGGCAGGAGCCTGGAATTATACTCATAAACGGAGTTTTTCGCCAATCTGTAAAACATTCGAAATTTAGCTGCTTCATATATGTTCCTCAAATCAATAACAATGTAATATGCAAAGCATGAAAACCAAGGCATCATAGCCTTTTGGACAGTGTTCAGGGAAAACTATATCGTAAACTACACTTATCTCTAAGAGGCAAAAGAGCAAACATCAAAGCAACACAATAACTAAGGCTAAATCAAAGAAAAACAGCTAAACCAGTGATCAATGAGGATATTGATAACATTCGGAAATGCTAAAAGCATACCTCTTTCTTTCTTGGTGGCACCAAAACACTCCGTTTTTGCCCTGCCTGTTATCAATCTTCAATTTGCATTTCCTGCGTACTGCTTCAGATTCACTGCAGTTTGGTTGGGACCAGCTCAAGTGAACATCACCTGTCTAGTAATACAACATATCGCCACATACTTCTGTCTTGGAAATGTTCAGCAATGTTATGCTGCAATTCACCAATCTAGGGGCACTTGTAGAATCAGAAGGAATAGCTAGAACTTGAAATTTTGGACTGCTTAAGCAAGGAATGTCGCCTCCATTATATCCATAAACATATCCATAATCAATTCCCACATTTGCTTCCCTTGAACAGTTGAAAACAGTGTATTTTTGTGATGGGTAGTATGTTGCAAAATGGAAGGGAGATGCAGATAAATTGAGATTGGGAAGATGCAGGGGCAAACTATATTGTTTTAATAAAACATCATAAGAAGGGACCAAAAATAATTTAATTCATGCTTTTAAAATAGAGTATTTTAGTCTTTTTTGAAAGAAAATTGATAAAAACAACATAGCTTTGGAGTGATATTTCTCTTAATTTTTAGAAGGTGTCTACGCCATAACTTACAAAAATTTAAGATCATGCCACGTGTCAAAAATTTTTAATGGATGAAAGAGATTTTGCCATATTAGATATGTAATTCTAGGCCCATAACAGATCAACTGCCACTTTAGAAGGAAGAAAGTAAAAAGATAAGATTTTATCTTTTAATTACCTTGTTTAGTTAAATTAGGTCTGTTTTGGCTGAAATATAGGAAGTGGTGTCAGTTATGGGTATGGATTATGAGATAATGGGACAGGTGGCGAAATCTGGAAGATAATTTGACCCTGTCAACTGTTGAAATGTCCCACTTCTTCAAGAAAACTACCCACAATTTGGTAACTGCAAAAAGTGGGGAGTTACAGTTGCAAAAAGGAGAATAAAAGAGAAATTTTGGAAGAAAGAACTGATGGCCAGCCCTACTCAAACATCTGTAAATTTTTAGACTTTATTTTCTCTGCAATTGCTTCCAGATTTCGAATTTCAACACAATTTCTAGTAGATCTAGGTTGTTTTTCATCATTCCAGTAGACAAATTAGTTCATGTATTCACTTCAACAGTTTTGTTTCATGTAATGAACTTCAATCTTTCGAATTTCTTCAAGGCACTATTCCTTTTCTATTTACAATTAATTTAATATTTATGATAAGTAGCATTTCATCAATAATTACTTATGTGGCGTTCACACTTCTTCTAAACTTCAAGCATATTAGTTTAATCACTGTTCACATTAATTTTAATGTTAATTATGGTAAAATCTTTAATTCTGCAACAGTTTAATTTTCAGATCTATCAATAGATAGTATTTTAATTTAACAATGAACATATTTAATTTACTTTGAGTACATCTTGTTCTTGTAATTTTACTTTAAATTGCATGCTATTTAGTTTAATTAGGATTTGTTAACTTTAATTCACAGTAGTGTTTAAGTCTTTGGAGTTGTTCAAGGTAGATTTCGGTTCAAGGTAGATTTCGTAGCCCATTCTGTAAGAAGGTGTCCCTCCCTCTTGCAAATCATCGTAGGCGCAGATTTCAATTTTAATCCAACGTTCTTCCCACCATCTACAAGGAGGTCGACCGTAAGGAAGGAGAGGGTCGTTGGGAAAGTTCTATTTTTTTTACTTTCAGCAAAGTAAGTAGCACATTCACATCCAAATTTCACACATGCGAGGCCACTAGAGGATTTTTGGGGAAACAGAAGGTAAGGTAGACATATTATTGTTTATCAGCCATACCACAAAAAAATTACAAGGAAAAACAATTCAAAACTACATCATTTCATTAAAGTACTAGAGGAAAAAGACTAAAATAAACTCAATTTTTGTGTTGTTTTAGTCTTTTCTCATGATGTTTAATGAAATGATATAATTTTAAGGCATTTTTCCTCATAATATTTTAAAAGTTTAGCTAACGACTTTTTCATATATCTATATGTATATATAGATAAGAGATTTATTTATACACAAATTTTACGCACACTTATATAAAATCTTAACCATTTATTTTTTTACTTTTAATAGCTAGAATTTATTATAACCTTTTAGATAAAAAAAATAGTTATTTTTAATAAATGTAAATAATTATCAACCATTGAAAATAAAGAAATGTATAATTGAGATTTTATATAAATATAATGTATAAAATTTATATATATAGAACAATGATAAATGGGACCAAAATTTGAAACCAAAATTTAGGATCAATGATAAATCATATCATTTAAAATATTAAAAAGTAAATTTTATATTATTTAATTATTAATTCTTTTTATCTTTTAAAAATATATGATATTATATATATCAATTAATTTAATAATTTAAGTTATGCCACGTTATTAATTCTAAATTTTTGTTTTAAATTTTTTACCCCATTATCATTTCTCCAATGGTTAACCAATTTTTTCTTTGCCTCTTAACATTCAACGTTATTAAAGGGTGAAGAAATGTGTCGAAGACAACACAAATGTGACTCGAAAGTCGAAGTTAAACGGTTTTTTTTTTTTTTCTTCCTTTTTTTTTTTTTTTTGTTATTTACTAATCTCTGCCTTGCAATGCAATTTTAAAAACGGATTTTAATTTGTATCAGTTTGTGACATTTATAAAAAAATATTATTTAAAATTTAAATTCTAAACTTAATTTTATATGACATTTGTACACGAATAGATCTCTAACTTATGCGTTGAAATTAATGGTTTCATTTAAGACTTTAAGTTGATGTTTAATGTGTCCAAATTTAATTTTAATCAACTTATACAATTTTCTTTTAAACAATTGTTAATTGTGGCATAAAATTCAACTTACCTAGCTTGAAAATAACACTAAGCTTTCATTTCATCAACCCGAATTAGTATAATAGTTCGAGATTAATTGCAATTCTCAAAAATTAATAATTGTTAGGAAAATAATTGAGAGTCAAATTCTTTTATACAATTTTTTTATACAACTTTATATGTCATTAAATAATTGATTTTATTTGCTTTATTAATACTTATGATATTATATGCATCTATTTATTTAATAATATATGAAATTATATAAAAAAACTGCACAAAAAAGTTTTCAACCTATCATTACGCCTAATTGTTATTTTTGATATTGAATTTGTCTTAAATTAGTTGTTACTTTTTCCTTTTTCAAATTATGAAAATAATTTTTTTTCTTACTTTTACCTTATTATTATTCATTTACTTTAATTAATCATACTATCATAAAAAAATCTCTCTTTATTTTTTAGTTCTTTTTAAAACTAATATAGATAAACATATAAATTATTTCAAAATTCTTAATTTGAAGAAAAATAAAAAAAGGTAGCCATTATTTGGATGGAGGAAGTACAAACTGCTACAAAATCAGTATTTGATAGAACTTTTTATTTAGCTTCTTTTTGGCTTAGCTAACAAAAATAAATAATAGATGTAGTTGTTAATCAGTAGTTGAAAGTTGATATTATATAATCCTTCTAGTTGAATTTTAGTTGTCTCACTTTTTAAATAAAGGTAATTTGATTTAATTGTCTTATTTTTTATTTTAATAATACATTAAATGCTAATATTTCAATTTTATTCTCATTTCAAAAGAGATAGATATGTTTTATTTAATTATAAGTAATGCTGAAAACAAAAAGAAAAGTCCTAATTATTGTAATAAATGAATTTCTCAATAACCGTAAATGGATAAAGTAAAATAACTAAATCTGATTGGAGGAAATAATTGATATGTAATTTGAAATCAATTGTATCTTTCTAAATACTTTAATTAATTTTTTAAGGTAAAAACAACTACTCTTCCTATCCCAAAATAATAGATAATTTTTAAAATTTGTCTTGAAATAATAATTTTTTTATATTATAAGGGAAACAAACTTTGTTTTACTATTTTAGCCTTATTACTTTTTCTTGACTTTAATTATCCATTCTATCTTAAAATGGTCTCTTTCTATTTATTTTTTTTAAGGGTAAATTATGTAAAAATAAAAATTGTACTCAAACCCTTGATTTGAAGATGAAATCAAACTATGCCTATTATTTCTAGGGTGGAAGGAGTATAAGCTGTCATTATCAGCTAAACCAAACAATGAGTTAATTAGTACAAAATAATTATTTACTCTTTACAATCTGATTTATTTGTCTCACTTTCTAAATAAAAATTATTTGATTTAGTTGTCCCAATTTCCATTTTAATAAGATATTAGTAAACACTATTAAATATTTCAATTAAGAAAGGTGATTTTCGGTACAAATTCCACTTTTTTGTGTAATTTGAGTATTAAAATTACCAAAACACCATTAATAAATCAACAATGAGTGCATTTGATTAAGGGTGTTATGATAATTTTAATACTCAAACTGCACAAAAAATTAATGTTTGTATTGAAAAATATATTTCTAATTTTAATTCTACTGTATATCAAAAGAGATAAAAATGAGTTATGATTTTTTTATTTAATTGTAAATAATTAGGATTTTTTGATTTAATTGTAAGTAAAGATGAAAATGAAACGAAAAATATTAATTATTATAACAAATGAATTTGTTTATAATCATAAATGGATAAACTAAAACAACTAAATTAGACAGTAGGATTAATTGTTGTTGTCATGTACATCACTACTTAAAAATCTGTTAAACAAAAACTAGGGATAAAAATGAGTTCCTCAATTTTCTCTTTGAATTATTCAAAAAGTTTAAGCTCTAATTCCACCAAATTAAAGATTACGATCAACTGAAATTTTAGTACAAGCTCAGGGACTAACCAAAAATATTAAGTAAATAATTCAGAAATCAGGAATCATACATTATTTACCTCTATACTGCGTAAGCTAGAGGTTAGAGTCCACTTTCCTGCATGCCATGTCAGATTCAAAATCTGGTTAAAGTATATATTTAACACTTTTTTTATTAAATTTGAAATTTTTTTTGTTTTATATTATAAAATTTTAAATTTATAAATTTATAAATTTTAATCCTTATGTTAACAAAATTTGTTAATTTTTTATTAAAGTAAAAATAAAATATTTATAAGATTAATTTTTAAAAAT